GCCTGCTCCGGCCTCCGGGGCCGCTGCCGGGCGGGAGGCCGTTCAGCTCGTCACAGGCGTCCTGCAAGCTGCCCGGTAGCGACCTGCGAGAGAGCGATGCTGGCAGCCGCACTGAAGCTGTTGGTGAGGAAGAGAAGGATGATGAAGGTGTGGAGTTCGGGACGCTGTCTGATAAATTTTCTTCTAGAAAATATTATCACAAAACCACGTCACGCTTTCAGAATTTAAAGCTTCAAGAAGATGGAGAGGAAGAACCGGAAAGAAAACCACGACGTGGTCCTAAGAACACCCCGTACTGGTACTTCCTAAAATGTAAGGCCCTCATCAAAGAAGACAAGGTTTGTGGCCAGCTCTCCGCTTATTTGGGTTTTAATAGCATTTGATCGATGAGAAACAGCACAGCCTTGTTGGGATGAAAGACGTACTCCACATCTGTTTGCGATACCTGGATTATGGTGCTGGGCAGATGGTTGCACCTTTCTATGTCTGCTTTCCCTCTGAAAATAGGAACAGCATTAACTCATCATTTTTGAGGGTGTCCAGACAGTTATTTTTTCTAAAAATTGAGCCTTTCCTCAGTCCTGTCTCCATCCAGTCAGCCTGCCATCCCCTCTGGCATCCCTGGCTTTGACATTTGCCTGCCACCACTTCTCATCCCAAACCCCTGCAGCTCTGTCTCGTCTCTATCATCCTATCACTTAGTATCTTTCCAGAAGGAGGTAAAAGAGGAATTTGTGACGAATCCCGTGCTCTGTAGGACTTCTACCACAACCTGCCCACAACTGTGTATATTAATATCCATTGTAATTGATTCTGTTGCTGCCTCATCATAAATTCTCCTCTTCCCTGTAGCTGGCGGAGGCTCTGGAGCTGTTTGAGGTGCAGATGCTGCAGCCAGAAGAAAGCAATTACACTGTTCTAATTGGTGGCTGCGGCAGGGTTGGCTACGTGAAAAAGGCGTTCAGGCTCTACAACGATGTAGGTTTATGTTCCCTCCTCTCTCAAACCTTCATTATATTTTCTAAGCTAGAACTGTTCCAAGCATTTGGTCACATTACTTTGTCTCCAAAATGCCTTTGAGTTAGTGTTTGTATCTTCTCAGCCTGAAACTCTTAAAACCATATTATGAAATTATAGAACTCTTTTTCCTAAAAAGCCTGTTCCAGTTGTTCTTCTCTTCCCTTAGATGAAAAAACGAGGCTTAACTCCCACCGAGGCTACTTACACAGCCCTGTTCAATGCCTGTGCCGAATCGCCATGGAAAGACTCAGGCTTGCAGAGTGCTCTCAAATTACGGCAGCAGCTAAAGAGCAAGAATGAAGAGCTGAACCTGATCACCTACCATGCACTGCTGAAGGTGTGTGCCCTGTGCTCAGATCTCAGGATGTGCTTTGATGTACTGAAGGTAAGTAAGTGACTTTTCTCATATTAAGTGTAGTCTGCTCTGGTTAAAGCTCCTGGGAGTTGCCATATTGCACAGATTTTTTTTAATTTTGTTTCCAGCAGAGGTGATTACAGATCGTGTTTATATTTCATTGATCCTTAGTCTTCTACAGTGAAATTGTCTTGGTACATACCAAACATTAACCTTAAGTACATAAAAGGAGACAGCTGCAGAGGTGAGCTTTAAAATGCTGGTCAGGTGTGTTAAAGACTTAACCAAGTTTTTGTGGGGTTCGGGGCTACTGTGTCTGTCTCAGTTAATTTTGAAGACCCATATATTGATACCTAGTTCCTTTGAGAGCCCTTACAGCAGCTCTTCTCAGAAGGGTCAGTCTGGGAGTAGCTAAAAGGATTGCTGTTCCTGCCTCCACATTCCCTGTAGCTCCTGTAAGGGAGAAGCTAGGACCTATACAGGAGTTTTGGCGCTCTTTTTCTCCTGGAGTGGTCGTTCTGCTCACAGGACTGGGACTTCACCCAATGCTTTGTTGCTGCTGTATCCCTAGAAGACAACAGTAGTATTTAAACTTCACAGTCAGCTGCAACAGACTGTTGGGGTAACTGGGAAGTTTAATGCTCTTTCTCCTCTTTTAGGAAATTGTGCACAAGGGCCATGTTCTCACGGCTGAAACTTTCAGCTTCCTTCTCATGAGCTGCATAAAGGACAGCGAAAATGGCTTCCGATACGCCTTACAGGTTTGTCCTCATGTTCTGAGTGGGGAGGAAGAAGTGCTGTATTGTAACTTGTCAGGAGCAGGCGTAGAAGGCAGCAGATTGCTCAGAGCTGACTAAGTAGGAGGGGTTCAGCTCCTCGTAGGAGAAGTTCTGTAAACCAGACGTACACCGGTGAACTGCCCTGGATGATCTGTACTAGCACAAGGTAGCTGTTCACTGTCTCACCTCATCATGCTGTAAATTCACTCCTTTTCTGCAGGTAGATACTGTAACAGAGGGCAAGGCAGATATGCTTACAGTGTGCTAGAAATGCTCCTGTTACTATCACCTACATCTGGTGTTTAATACTACATACATCTGGTGTTCGTCTTCGCCTTTTCAGGTTTGGAAACAAATGACTAAACTTGGAATAAAGGCTAACAGCCACTCTTACAATTTGATGCTGCGTGCTGCAAGAGACTGTGGGATAGGAGATCCAGTCGTGGCTTCTGAACTCCTGCTCAGACCCACCCATGAGAACTCATCTCAGCTAAGGCTTGCACCCGGGAGGCAGAAGGAAAAGGTGAAAAATCAGAGGAAGAAGGGATCAGAGAGTGCACCTGCTGTCCAGCTGGATGTGGAAGCTATGGAAAAGCAATTATTTCAGGAGAGTTCGGTGCAGCCAGAAGAACCGATGCGGCAACAAAATAAAGATGTGAATCAGGCTGAAACAGAAGCAGCTGCTCTCGACAGCCCCAGTGTAGCTCACAGCAGGACTGGAGTGTTGGTGAGGAGAGGCCAGAATGAGATGGAGCAGGAACAAGCACGCCTAAGCTGGAAGCAGCGTTTCTGCAACTTGCCCAACTTGCTGGATTCCAGGATGCCCGACACAGCCTTGGTTTCCTTGGGGACAGTGGCCACACCATCTGATAGACTGGCCTTGATGGGGGATGTGGAGGGCTTCTTGAATAAAATGAAAGAGGACAATGCAGAACCCAACATTAAAACGTTTACGTTACTGGCTGAGCTGGTGGAACCCCAAAGCCCCTCCGAGTCCTCTTTGCTGGCACTCCTAGATGAGCATAAAGTGAAAGTAGATGTGACCTTCTTTAACACTTTAATAAGGAAGAAAAGTAAACAGGGAGACCTGGAAGGAGCAAAGGTGAGAAAAACTCAGAACCAGCACTGTCACCACCTCCTTGTCTCAAATCTTCAGTTTACCTGTTTCACTGCAAGACCTGTTTCTGTATCCGCAGTAGAAACTGGGGATCTTACACTGTTTTCCACAAACCAGTGCTCAGGTTAACTTAAGTATTTAGGGCTTCTGTTCCAGAACGTTCAGTGCTCTGGAAACTAACGTTGACATTTGTATCTTGCAGAGTGTGCTGCCAGCTCTAGTGAAGAGAGGACTATCGCCTAACCTCCAGACATTTTGTAACTTGGCAATCGCTTGCCGAGGAGAGAAAGATGGACTGCAGTTACTCTCAGATTTGAAGGTAATAAACCCTGTTGGTTAGGGTTTGAGCTGCAGGAAGAGGCAGAGTGAAGTGTTAACACATAAAAAGAGTTGCTGAGGTTTCTCTGCTGAGTGGTTTTGTTCTCACTCCAAAACCATACAACTCTAGAGTAGGTGCCAGCTCCAGTGGTCTGTCCTACCTGCGCTGGGATAGGAAGCTGCTACACTGGTTCTGAAGTGAGAGCCTTCCTCCTTGTGTAGGAGGTGCCTGTGTGTCTCCTTGTTCTAGAAGTCCTGTGCTAGTTGGCAGATAAACAAGTTTAACTTCAGTGTTTGTTGTTTCTAGAGGTCTGGAGTAACCCCCAACAAATATATCTACAGCACCCTCATTGCTGCTGCCGTGAGGCAGCTGCATTACAGTTACCTGATAGAGATCCTGCGAGATATGAGGAATAACCAAGTGCCTCCCAATGAAGTTATCATACGCCAGCTGGAGTTTGCTGCACAGTACCCTCCAAAATTTGACAGGGTAAGTAGCCATGACTGGTCAGAGTGTGAAGGCATCACGAAGGACACCAACAATCAGGAGAAACATAGATGTCTGCCTAAGTCCTTTTCCTTTGGGTTTGTCTGATCTGGCTGACAGTTACTTGATAGCCGTTTCTTCAATACCAGCATGCAATAGCTATAAGCTGCTTCTGAAGTGAGCTCTCATCTAATAAAAACTTGTTTTGTTGGATTTCTGTTTGCAGTATAAGTCAAAGAACCCATACCTGGAGAAAATTGATGGCTTCCGCAGCTACTACTATCGGTGGTTAAAAGTAATGCCAGGAGAGGAGACCCCTCACCCCTGGGAAAAATACAGAACTGCTAAACGTGCAGCAGATGACAATAAGGAAGAGGCTGTGCAGGAGGAGCCAGGGCAGAAGTAGCAGTAAGCAGGACACTGAAGTTCTGTATCTGCCTTGTGCTGGAAGAATGTCAATCTTGTTCCCTTAAACCATCTTGTAGTAAAGCTGCTTTGTATTTCCGTGAACGCCAGTTCTTGGGATAACTACATAATAAAATATTTGTCCTTTGTTTTAAGGAGAAGCAAATACATTTTCAGTGAATTTCCTTAAACTGCAGTGGATTAGATGGGCTGTAGTTTAACAAACCCTGTGCTAAACAAGGGAGAAGCTTTAAATTCAGTTAGTTGAGAAAAAGGTGGGGAAAAAGCTGGTTAAACTACCCATGTTTAGATTACCTCACAGTATATAGAGCAACCTTCAAAGAAAGCAAAGCACATCCAGCAGGAGAAGAGTGGCCTAGAAATGTTTCGCCAGGAGATTGCACCACTCTCTCAGGAAGGCAGATTTTATTTTCAAATAAATGGCTACACAAAAACCTACTCCAAAACGACCATCATTGTATATTTGATTTAGGGGAATATGTTGCTGGTTTAATTGCTATACAGAAATACCCAATCACGCAAAGGTGGCTGTAACTGCAGCGATAGTCCATTGTGTAGGATGATATCCCTCAGAGTTCAAAAAGTAGTCTTATGGCTAAAGGCTTCACCCAGAACAGCCTCTGCATCCACAGTGAGTGCATTCAATGATTCTTCCCTAGGAAAAAAACCAAAACAAAACAACATGAGGATGATATTTCAGCCCAGCTACATGAGCAGACCGACCAGCAGGCTTGAGCCTCAAGGCAGAGCATGGGTCTGTGTGGGAGGGGTTTCTACCATCTAGTTTTCTGTTGTTTCCCATACTTTAACACCTTTAAACAACTGCATGCCAATGCCGACAGTAACTTTGGATGCAACTAGATACCAACTCTACCAGCAAAAGGTAGAAAGTGTTAGAACTAGAAGAAATTACCAGGAAGAACAGCAGTATCTCCTCTGCTGTCCCTGAGCTAGGAAAGTTAGACCAGGTACTGCAAGGGTCCAGACACGTAGAGGAACAAAAAGCCTTACCACTTCCAGCTTGCTTTTGGGGACCCTGCAGATGCAGTTGGTTCCGAAGTTGGTGTCCCGTGTCTGGATACACCGCAGGCAGCAGAGGTTCTCATAACCCTGTTTCTTCCACTTTGCAATCAGGTTTTTGTCAGCGTATCCTTCTTTGATGCAGTACTCGTAGAGCTCTGTAGAGGAGCAGACACCATCACAGGTAGCTCCCAGGAAGTGTTAGGGACTTAGAATCAGGAGCTGTAGTAACTAGTAGTTAAAGCCATGCAGCTGCCAGCCTTCCCTCCATCCTCCCTCCCCAGAAACGTGATCCTTTTAATCAGTGCCCCAGTTCAGGCACACCGACAAGCAGGCATCTTACTCTGTTCTGTTTTTCCCTGCCCAGAGTAAAGCATTTGCGTTCCTCACCTCTGCTGATAGCTTTTCTTTTATAGAAGAGATCAAAGATATAACGTGTTTTCTGGTGATGAATTCTGAAAATAGGCCAAAGGGATTCCACTTTCCTCTTCCCTTCGTGAGGCTCAGTCTCCGCTGGGAGGGAACACAAATACCAGGTTTCAGCTGTTTCAAGCAGCCAACTTATTCCTTTAGTCACTTTGCAATAAACTATTCCAAGAACATTTGTAATGTTAAAACATTACAAAGATAAGACCAAGCTTAATGGGAGAAGATTCAAACAAAAGAGACCTGACTCAGAACAGCTCCTTAAGGAAATGAAAATGAAAAAAGACAGACAGCAGGGATGATGTGACCAGCGCTAGGATGGCAGGTGACTTCATGGCTTGTCAGACTGGAGCAACAGCACAGACGAGAACTACCAGTCCCTCCATGCACACCAGTGAGCTTCATCCACGGCTCAAACATGGCATACCCTAAAACAACCATACGCTAAACCTCTGTGCTCTGTAACCTGTGTACACCCAGAGAAAAGCAACCAGTACAGGCCCAGTCTCAGCCTGCAGTATCACTGAGAGGCAGAGATATGAAAAAAAAGTCAATCTATATGTGTGGGGGCAACTCTGCTTCCTGAAGCAATTAAGGATGAGCTTGTCTCAGAAACACTGCCCCGAGAACACCCAGCTCTGCCACTTACCTTCTCTCATCTTCTGATCCAGCTCATCCAGCGTTGGCTCAATCAGCTCCCAGCCATCCGGGGGAGGCTTCCTGCTCCTCTTCACTTTGGGCATTGCCTTGGAAACGAGGAAGGCAAAAGGCAAGGGTTTGCCTGCACCCAAACGTGCAAATGCTTCAAAGTCCTTAGAACCACTGGAAAAAACGAAAAGAAAACAGTTGCTAGATACATTTCTCCTAAGATTTCTGTGCCCCTTTGCCATCTTCCACTGCGATGATAAAAATGAGATTTATGGAGTTCGTGAAAGAGGTAAAATCTCGCCCAATGTGGCCCTGGGGATAGCAGCCGCTCTGGGGT